AACGTTGATGGCATCACTTGGTCAGTCAGGAGCAGAGAACATACAACATACTGATAATACTTCAACTCATGCTGGTAGATGATCTCACCCACTAGCTTCATGTAAAGGTTAAAGAGAAGTGAGGAGAAAACTGGGAGAACCATACCCTACTTCAAAGAAGCATTCACCATCACCTTCCACATCCCCTATTTGAAACCTTCCAAATCCCAAATCCCAGACTTTTCATTTACTAGTTTTTCAGATTAAAAAATTACAACTTTCTTTTACAGATAAAATAAAAAAGGCTCCAGTTTTGTCTCATTGCTGCAATTGTCAGACAATATGGAAAGAGCAAGTAAAATGGTTATTGTAGCCACAGGATGCAGATTGACTCATTCCAGCTCCTACTGTTGTTCTGAACTTTTGTCTTCACACATAGTGTAAAAGAGAAAGAGAAGGTTGCTGAGTATAGCTGAGAGTTAGCATTGAGTGAAATAATACAAATGCTTGAAAACCCTTTTGTTACAATCCTGAAATCTCTTCTTTGTTTTGAAAATGAAGCCTTGAAATGGAAGAATCAAATTCCTTCTTGGAGGGAGTCAAGCTATTTTTCAAAGCGCCTGGAGGCAGGACAAGAAGTAACGGGTGGAAACTAATCAAGGAGAGAAGCAATCTAGAACTAAGGAGAAACTTCCTGACAGTGAGAACAATTAACCAGTGGAACAACCTGCCTCCAGAAGCGGTGAATGCTCCAACACTGGAAGTTTTTAAGAAGAGACTGGACAGCCGTTTGTCTGAAATGGTGTAGGGTTTCCTGCCTGAGCAGGGGGTTGGGCTAGATGACCTTCAAGGTCCCTTCCAACTTTACTATTACTATTATTAATATTCATTGATCAACTGAATATAGAATATATGGAAATTCAGTTATAGGTAATCAATTCAGAGTTGCCATTGATAGCCTTGTGTTAATGAAAGTGTTTAAAAGCTTGGGATTGTTCACATTAAGTCTGCTAGGCCATAAACTAATAGCCAGCCATCAAAATAATATATGTGATTTCAGCAAATGTTGCTGGCTACTTTCTCTGGCTACTTTTTTAAAAATATAATTTTAAAAAACTTTCTCTGGCTACTTTTTTTTAAAATATATTTTTTATTAAACCTATCAAAAAGAGAAGTGAGAAAATGGGGAAGGAAGAAAGAGGGGGAGAGAGAAGTGTAGGGTAAAGGGGAAGAAAGAAAGAAAAGCATTAACTTCCAATTCTTTTCAGTGCAGTAGAATAAAATAATAATATTAGTCTTTTTACTTATGTATACTTAAGATGGCCATCTTTGCTAGTCCCCTCATTTTTCCAGCCATTCTTCCATTGTGGGAAACTTTTTCTGGCTATTTTATAGAAGTTGCAATACAATTATGTTTCATAAATTCAAGGGATTGATATGGATAGAATCTTTGAACTGCTGGGTTATCCTCATCACTAGACCATAACTAGCATGACATTAATCCTTGTCAATGAAAAGCACTTCTGTCTTTTTGTGCTGTCAAGAATGATTAAGCCACGGGTGTCAAACTCGACACGTCACGTGACATGTCGCGATGTATCGCAACTCCTTTTGCATTGCTGGCAATGGGGTGGGCGCGACTTCGGTATGATGAAATGGGCCTGTGGGCCGGCAGTTTGACACCCCTGGACTAAGCGTTCTATTTTTTCTACATATTAACATGGAGAAGGACAACCAAATGATTTGTCAAATGTAAAGGACACAGTATTCTTACTTTGGAATCAAGGAGTTAGATTATTAATTGCCCTATATCGTATGTCTTATTCACAGTTATTGTTCTTGTTGCACAGTTAAGGGAACATACATGATAAATCCTAACTATTTATTGATGAACCTAGTAAATGATGCCTATCTATAAAAGCTGGTGATATTTTGAAAACGCCCAGCAGCTTCTGGGTTATGGTATGGCTGTATTACAAGGGCCTAAACACTGCTGTGAGTAGTTATTGGACGTAGTGAACTGTTTGTTTCCCATAGAATACTCCCATTGAGTATATCTTTAAATATGTAGCAATTACTTTTTCCTTGTGTAGTAGAGAACCTATTTGAGAAGAAAACCCATGTTTTCTTGTTTTACTGGATATAGTTTTTGCAGCAGTCAGTTGGATCCTGTTCTATTTCGTTTGTCTTTTAGAGTTTGTATCTATTTTTTCATTCAGCAGCAAGTCCATGGAAGGCATGGATAAGAACAAAATAGAATAGATTTAAAAACGCAGTCTTCAAGTTATTGACAGTCAGTGTCAGCATCATCTCCTGATCTATTCTACACCTTGGGGAAATCTCTGAAATATTTGCAACACATTAATTTTTAAAGTTCCTGAGTAGGGCTGGGCAGCTACTGGCTGTGAGTCCCAGCACATCAATTACAGCAGACTTTTTCAATCTTTTTACCCTGGAGGAAGCATTGAAATCAATGCATAAAATTATTAAATCTACAGGTCACTGTATATTATTATAGTCAGTAAGTTGTAGATTATCCAATAATAATTGTCAGTGCTCTTTTGAGTAGAGCATATCTTTTTGTGTATGGATCTTTTATTTTGGCCAACTTACTAGCCTACTGTTTTTGTTTGGTATCCCTTCCCCCACAAAGGATACCAACTCTCTCAGTTCAAAAATGATGTTTATTTTTTTCTCCCCAATTCCAATCTCTTGAAGAGCCCCTGTTGAGAAAAGCTGATTTACAGCAACCCACCTTATGCAATCTTAGTAACAATTTCAGTTGAGTCAAACAAAACGCTGTGCAAAACTGAGTTCCCGCCCATAATATTTTCTTGGCTAAAAGGAGTGGATGATGTAGTGCTTTTTTGAAAAAAACAAAGGAAATGTTTTTAAACAGCAATGTCCAGTTAAATTCTCCTGTGTTCAGTTACCTAACAGATATTAAAGTATTCACCAGAAAGATAATGTAAGCAAAAAGGCAGTGTTCTTGTTTCTGAAAAGGCAGGGTTTTTTTATTTTTTGTTCCGTGGCTTCTTCATTGTCTTTTTAAGGCATCTGGTACATGAAAAATTGAACTAAATGCCATAAAGGGAGTGGGGTGGGAAGGTTGGTGGTAGTTATGATTTTTTTGTACCTTCAGACGTCTAGTTTGGTTCTAGAGCTGGCTAGCTGAACTATTAATGAAAGAAGCACTTAGGAAATACCCCTGGGAGCAACAATTATCTTACAAATGAGAAAGCCTGTTTTAACAAATCATCTTTGTGACTAAATATGGGTGATCTGCTCCCACATGATTTTTTTAGGTGTGCCCTGAAGCTGCTTACCAGAGTTCTTGTGGGAGCTTTTTGAGAAGTCTAGAGTCTTTGGAGGATGGCTAGGAGAGATCACTGCAGGCTGTTTGGAGCTGGGACCGAAGATACCATCAGTGATTCTAACTCTTAAACGGAAGAGTTGACATTCAGCCCAGTAAAGTGATGAATTGGCAAAGTTAATGATCTTACACAAACAGTATATTTTAATAAATTAAAAAAAACCTGCAGTTGATTTGTAGAAAGAGCAGATGGAGCATTGGCACTGATGTTGTGGTGCTAATCTGGGGAAAGACTTCCACTTGCAGATCCACATGAGAGAATGCCAGTAAAAGGGCTCGCAAAGCATTTGAAAGAAGCTGTGTGATGGATGAAGAAAGCATTAGTCAAAGATTTAAAGTAGTTGCACCTTTTGTGATAGTTACGTGATTGCTTTCCCTCCCTCCCCTGGTTGTTTGCCATGTGTATGTAAACCCAGATAGCACTTCAGCTGAGATCACCAATTATAGTAAAGTATTTCCATACCAATAAAGATGGCTGTTAGAAACATTGAATGAAGATGTGGCTGCTTTAATGCTTTGAGGAATGTGCTTCAGTTACACCAAAACACTTTGTAAATAACTCTTTCAAGTGTCATCACCAGTATGTTTCTTTGGGTGTGGGTTTGGGGGGTGGTTTCTATGAAATAGTACCTATTCTTCAGCTACATTGCTACTTTTTAACAGGTAGAAGTCAGAATAGCTTGTTAGGACTGCAGGGAACAAAAAACAGATTGGTTCATCCATTGAAGAACAATTAATCAGTGGAACGACTTGCTTCCAGAAGCTGTGGGTGCTTTAACACTGGAGGTTTTTAACAAGAGATTGGACAACCATTTATCTGAAATGGTATAGGATTTCCTGCTTGAGCAAGGTCCCTGCCAACTCTGTTATTCTATTAAGTTCAAATATCTGGGTTGTTTATTGGCTTAACCATTGTGGAATTGCTACAAAAAAACCCTTAAATTGGTACTATGTTCATAATATATTTACAAAGGCAAATCTTACTTAATTTCAAGTTAAATGAAATGAACTGAAGGACAGTCCAACCTCTAATGCCTTAAAAGATGAGAGTACATTTGCCTTTTAAAAAAGATTTGAAATCTGTCCTTGTCTTCTAGAAAACTTTGGAAAGGCATTTTCTCCAAGTGTTGCTGAAAGAGTTTTACAAATATCTGTGGAATATTGTCCCAGACCAGGGGTAGGCAACCTTGGCTCTTTTATGACTCGTGGACTTCAACTCCCAGAATTCCTGAGCCAGCATAGCACAGCTGGCTCAGGAATTCTGGGAGTTGAAGTCCACGAGTCATAAAAGAGCCAAATGCTGGCTCAGGAATTCTGGGAGTTGAAGTCCACGAGTCATAAAAGAGCCAAGGTTGCCTACCCCTGTCCCAGACAATTGGAAAAAAAATCTTGGCAGGGAGAAGGGTGCCCTATGTTCCTGCTCAGACTTTCAGCTTGATCGCCTCTGTTTTGGTTTCACTTTTGGAAGCGATTTTCAAAATAGCTTCTTTTCAGTTGCTATGGAGAAGTTTCCTTTTTTTAAAAAAAGAACATCCTTGCTGTCCTCATCATGCATAAAATGAGGAGACTATAGCACATGCACAATATGCAGTTGTACAGTATGTCAAAGCTATATATTCATCATCTTTGTGTTGTTTTTTTAAACTAGGTGACTTTAGAAAAAGTGCTGGGAATCACTGTGTCTGGTGGCAGAGGATTGGCCTGTGATCCTAAGAATGGTCTCATTGCTTATCCAGCTGGGTAAGTTGTTAAAGGCACTCTTTAAATGACTGCAAGGCTGCTTAAGGATAAAGTCTGCCAAACATGTCATGTAGTAGAGTGAGACTTTTGGAAATGTTCTCCTAAATTCATTCCAATTATGATGTATAAGCAATGTTAACTTAAATTGTTGCTAGAAGGAATAAAACTCTTATATTCCTCATCTGTCATCACTAATGAAATCTTTTTTGTCATGTTTCTGAGATTTCTTTTTTTAAAGGAAAAGAGGTATATTAAACCTGGTAAGGTTTACTGCACTGATTATCTTTCTTTGGTGGCACAGTGGTTAGAATGCAATATTGCCGGCAAACTTTGCCCACAGCCTGAAGTTCGATCTGGACAGAGCTCAAGGTTGATTCAGTCTTCCATCCTTCCGAGGTCAGTAAAATGAGAACCCAGATTGTTGGGGCCAATATGCTGACTCTGTAAACCACTCTTAAAGCACTATGGGGCCAAATGTAAGTCTAAGTGCTATTGCTATGGTATTGCTATTTTTGAGGTTCCTCTTCTTGTTTTCTGCTAAGGTTTTTTTTTTTTTAACTAGAAGGTTAAACGAAAGTCAGAAAAATGTGAATCTGAATTCCCCATAAAGCTGGAGTTGCCCTTTTAGAATGGGAAATAGCTGTGTGATATGAAGATTTGTGAGCCAAAGTTCCTCTTGCATGAATAGTTGTTCTGTGTTGTAATATTGGTCCTGGGATTAGATTGTTCTTCCCAGTATTTCTTAAATGGGCCAAAATAATTACCTAACTTGTGGATAAATTCAGTGAGTGGAACCCTTCCATCGTATTAATGGAAGCAAGTATTAAAAGGCAATGTACTTCGGGTTTTCTTGGAAGCCAAAGCTTGAAATGGTGACTAATCACCACTGGATTTGACATAATTTTCAGTTAGGCTTTACATGTGTTCACAGAGATCAAAACAATAGTTTGAAACAATGGATTCAGATTATTAGCTCCAATGTTCTCTGACCACATCATCCTTGTCCACAGCCCCATTCTCTTTTTGTCGTCCCAGAAGATTCCCCCAATCCTGAAAGTGGAAATTCTGCAGCACAAGTTTAATCTAATCTATTTTTCTCCAAAGAAAAAAAATCAGAGCAATAAACCTACCAGGTTCAATATATCTCCTTTTCTTTGAAAAAGAAACCTCTGAAAAGAATCTCGTATTTTGATATCAGGGTCTTTGGTGATGCTACTGCTGTGTTCCCAACTGCCTTCTAACCCAGTCTTAGTACTGTAGCTATTGCTCTGATTTTACTAATACTATGAGTAGTGTAGTCCCACTACGAAATAAATAAATAATAGTTTTCACTCTCTGCCTCAGCAAAGGATGGCTGAATGCTATTTTGGAAAGAGAGGCTTAGAGAAAGTGCTGGTAGTCTTTTCTTGGAGCCAATTTCCCTTCCTTGCATGGGCCTAGTGTACTCTGTCTTTCTGTGCAAACAGAGCAAAATGGTTAAGAAGGGCGGAGATCCAAATTAGGAACTGTAAGTAAGCATTTTGAAAAGCTGACATGGGTCAGGCAGTCCTGCAGTTTCAAACTGCAGTGATTCAGGAGTGCAGTGAATATTTAGATTGTTTTGATAATTTCATTTTGCTAATGTCAGTGGAATTTCAAACAAGAAGAAAAGAAATTGAAGCCAGTCTTAGAAGGCTGTTGGTTTGGCCACAGTGAATCTATAGAGGAGAGAAGAACAGCAATCATTTTTCTCCTAGGTTGGTTATGCTATCCTTGAAAGCAGCTTTTGTCACTGAGCTTACTCTACAGCAGTGATGGCGAACCTTTTAGAAACCGAGTGCCCCAAAACCGCCCCCCCGCCCCCGCTCCGCCTCCCACCCTGCCTACTCCGCCCCTACCTGCCCCCTGCCCCGCCCACCTGCAGGGACACACACTGCCTCCATGGCCCGCAGCAGATCCCCCAGGCAGCCCTGCAGCGCCATGGCAGCCACGCCCTCTGCCCATACCCACAGCATCGTCTGCAGGCTATGGGGTGCGAGGGCTGAGTCGTGTCCCTGCTGCCCGGCTATGTCCTTGGCTGCGCTGCTCTGTGTGGGCCGCACCCGGGGGCGATTGTCCTCTAGGGAGGCTGCTGGTGAGGAGGGGGCCACGGGGAGGTGGGGCTGGGGCGACGGCACCCGTGCCCACAGAGAGGGCTTCAAGTGCCGCCTCTGGCATGCTTGCCATAGGTTCGCCACCACTTCTGTACAGTATGTTCAGATTCTGATAAACTAGAAGAGATGTTTTCCTTCAGAAAAGAGGCTGTAAAATCTGTAGGATAGATATAAGAAAGGCGGTGACACTAAGATGGGAGGCCTGTATGGTGAAATCTGGATGTACTTCTCAAGTACAGCCATGTAGTTGGGGATGATGAGAGTTGTATTAGCCCAGCCTACCTGGAAGGCATTGGATTGGGGAAGGCTGTTCATCCCAGGTTACTGTGGGTTGAAGATGATATTTTACCTGCTGTGTTACTCTGTCACTTCTTGTGCCTCATTAAAATTTGAGCTAGTATATAAGTCCTGAATTTTGGGATTTGGAGGCAAGGCTAAATATTTAGACTTCTTGGCTGGTAAAAAATGAAAAGACTTAGCAAGGTACTGATGGATATTTGCTAGGCAAATGAGCCAGAATGCTGCAGCAAAATTAAATCAAAGGAGGGGCTAGGTGACAAGACAAAAATCACAGAAGTTGCCTGCTGCAGTCACCTCTTTCCCTCCCTCCTTGCTACCTCCCAAAAAGAGCCATGGAGATGACCTTGAGGGGAATATTCAGAAAATAAAAGGAGCAGAAGCATTCCTTGAGCCCTGGAAAGAAGACTGTATTGGGAAGAGACTCAGGGTGGTTCCTCCTTGACTTAGTGAGTATAAGAGTAAGGGGAAAGTAAATATCAGAAAACTTGCAATATTCTGTTAATTAACAGTGTTTCTCAACCTTGACAATTTTAAGGCCTGTGGACTTCAACTCCCAGAATTCCACAGCCAGCAATGCCTTAAAATTGTCAAGGTTGAGAAACACTGTGTTAATACAACCTATCTCAGTCTTCTTGTGGAATCTGTTTCCAGAACTGGACCCAGCTTGAAAGGTTGACACCCCCTTCGAGATATAAGATGTTAAAAAACTGAGCGTTGCTTTGAAGAGATGCTTAATGTCCCTTGCGGTTGATTTTTGTGTGGTCATAAGGTTGGGGTTTTTATCTATTAAACTTGTTTACCATCCATCTCACCACAAGGTGATTCTGGGTTTCTTACAGCATCTTATTTTTGCTGCAGAATGATGGCTTTATATAGCTTTCATGCTATATTCTCTGTGTTCTATAGGTAGCCACATGATGCTCTTTGCTGTTTGTCCCATAAAATGCTACAATGACAGCCTCAGCAACCATATCTTAAGGCCAGGAAGTCTGTTTTGGACTGCATGTGTGCTGGTTTTAGAACTGTTATGTTTCATTCTCTGTTAAAAGAATTGCCGCTATGATTGTGCATATTTAATAGCACAATAGCAGAGCTCAGAATGGATTTTAAAAGAATGTCAATGAAAATCAGTGAAAATGTAGAACCATGCATTTAGTGGGCAGTGCACTCAGTTATTATTGTAAGCTGCGGGAGAACAATGGAATCAGAATGTGGATTCAAAGGACTACAAATCCTTGGTAGGTATGCCAGGCGTGGGAACAAGAGAAAAATTAAAATTAGTTGACTTTAACTGGGAGGGACAGAATCCAGTTAATAGGATTATTCCCATGTATTTAATAAGCCTCCACTTTGAGCAAATGAAAATTTTAAGTCAGTAGCAACTTTTGGAGGGGTTCTGAGAGCCACACCCAGAGCTTTGGAGGATTAAATCTCAGGATTGCAGCTTGAAAGCAATAATGGTGTTTTTATTTTTTCCTGCCAAATGAACTTGTTTGTCATGCTCACAGCCTCTAAAACCAGAAATCATTTCTATTTCCACTTGATAAGGAAATGTTTGGGAAGTTGTTATCCAATGTACCGTGTCAAGCTAAGGATATTTTAATAAAGCCTGAGAAACTGCAGGAATCTTTAGGCGTCTTTAGCATTTTCAGAAAAATATAGGGAGCTGAGAAAAAGGAAATTTCTCTGAACTTTTCAGAAGACTCTTGCAGGTCGTAGTAATGATCAAAAACAAAACTAGTTTCTTCAAAATCTCCCATTAGAATAATATTAAATTCTGCCTAACTGGTAATGCCAAAGTGTAAATATATAAGGAAGCAGAAGTCTAACAAATACATAAATCAACTTTCTAAATTTGGATAAAGGGATCATGGTTCATAAACTCTACAGTGTGATTTGGCTAAATACTTACTTGTCCATTATGGTGGGCTGTTTTATGTTGCTGGGGCATACTCCACTGTCAAGACCTAAAAGAGAAATGGTTGGCTGTCCTAATTAAATTGCAGGGTCAGTTTGTTTTCTCATATTCTCAAGGAATGTATACTGTACCTTCTTGGCAGGGTGCAGAAATCTGCTTGGCATTGTTGTTACACTGACTATGGAGTTTTTCTTTCTGCAGCCTTCTTCTAAAAAGAAAATGCAGTGGCGAATAGAATTTTCTGGATTGTTCTTAGAGTAATATGCATTTTTGCTGACTGGAGCAGTGCACAGTATGCTTGACACCACATGGATGCCTTCCTTATAGTTCTTGCATATGTCTTAGTTCTGCTCTGTTCCACTCCAAATATCCCATCAGTTGACTCAACTTTTATTAAATAGTGCCAATACAAGGCAGGCCTGAGATTCAACTCACTTGCAATTTCAGCTCAGCACCCAACTTCGTAAAAAACATTATTTTTACAGCAGTTATTGGGGAGCCCACATTCATTTAACTGTTAACATTGTTGGGCCCTGGAAAGAATTAAAGGCTTAAATCTCACAGGAGGACCACGTCAAAATCTTGTAATTTGCTTCTGAATGTCTTTTTAAATTTCCCTTTCTTTATCTGTCTGATAAATGCTAATGTTA